ACCCTGAGCCGGTGAGATTTGAACCGCTGAACTGCTGATCTAGCAGTCAGCCTGCAGTGCTGCATTTAACCACTGCACCACCACAGCTCCTCCTCCTCTTCCTCATCAGCCACCTCCAGACCTGGGGACTGTTGACTCTCCATCTGAAGGATGACGGACAGCCCAGGCTCCACCTCCCTCCCTCCCTCTCTCTTCCTCCCTCTCTCCCTCCCCTTCTCTCTCTCTTTCTCTTTATTATTAACTTTTTGAAAATGAGATGTTTTTTCACACAGGGCTCAGAAGATGCAAGACATCCCAACACATTGAAGGCCACGAGAAGTTTTGACACATGCCCATACACATGTATGCACAGGTAGTCCTCAACTTACAACAATTCATTAGTGACGGTTCAAAGTTACGACATGGCTGGAAAAAAAGGGACTTAGGACCGTTTTTCGTAATTGCAACATTTCCAAGGTCACATGATCAAAAAAAAATTTTGGACGGTTGGCAACTGACTCATATTTATGACGGCTGCAGTGTCCCCGGGGGCGTGGGATCCCTTTCCGACAAGGGGAAATCTGGATTTACTTAACAGCTGTGTTACTAACTTGACAACTGCAGTGATTCACTTAACTTAGTCAAGGAAAGTCGTAAGAAAACGGGGCAAAAACTCACTTCGCAAAGGTCTCACTTAGCAACGATAAATTGTGGGGGTCAATAGTGGTCGTAAGTCGAGGAATGCCTTCATTTTTGTAGGCAGAATGTGTAGGCCGTCCTCAACTTAACAATTGAGTCCCGGAATTCCTGTCGTTAAGTGAGACATGTCTTTAGTGAGTTTCGACCCATTTTTTTGTCACAGTTGTTAAAGTGAACAACCCCAGTTAAGTCGCTATACTAGCCCGGTTGTTAAGTGAATCTGGCTTCCCCATCAACTTTGCCCGTCAGAAGGTTGCAAATGGGACCGTCGTAAATGCTGCAACCGTCATAACTGCGAGCCAGTTGCCAAGCCTGTGAATTTTTGATCGTGATTCCACGGGGCCGTTGCGACGGTTGTTAAGTAGTATGAAAAATGGTCATGACTCACTTTTTTCAGTGCCGTTGCCCCTTAGAATGGCCGCTAAGTGAACCGTTGTAAATCGAGGACTACGTCACAAAATTGTGCCTTCCACAACACTCGCATGTGATGTTAGTTGAACTGGCCTTTTTCTGTTTTCAGCTTTGACTATGAAGACGCTGGGTACCAGCCTGCAGATCTTGTCAAAATGGATATTTTTTTAAATGGAAAATCTGTGGAAGAGCTGATAACTATTGTTCCGAGGTAAGTCAATTGCATGCACGTCCCGTTTTAAAAATCCAATCAGAATAGAGCTTGGAGGTCATCTAGTCCAACCCTGTGCTCAAGCAGGAGACCCTGTACCATAGGGTCCCCTATACAGACTTGAACATTGGGTGCTATCTAATAAAATGAAATTCAAGGGTGAAAAAAGTCAGGTTCTGTATTAAGGCAAGAAAAACAGGTACAGTATAGGTGGTTCCTTGCTCAATAGCAGTAACTGTGAGAAGGGATCTTGGAGTCCTAGTAGGCAACCATTTAAATAGGAGCCAGCCGTGTGCAGCAGCTGCCAAAAAAGC